ATTGCTTTGTTGTACTTAGATTTATGTGAACATTTCAGCATGCTAGTGTATGTGTGTGTGTATATGTGAGTGTTTATATACAAATATACACTCAAAATATATAAAATGATTGACATTTGCAAAACATCGAATGAAATCAAACAAACACAAGCAAACAAAGCAAAACAAAAAAAAAAAAAAAAAAAAAAAAAACAAAGCCTTAAATGTTTTATATCTGCCTTCTATATGCATGTATTTGTTCTTATTAATAACTAATAACTGGCGCCAGAAGTTTGCAATCAGTAGTTTTGCAATCAGTACAAAATTGATCTCTTGTACTGGTAGTAGTACCAGTTGAATGCTGTCGATGATGTGATGAAATGCTAATAATGATGATGATGCTCATGATATTTTTCCAGTGCAAAAACAAAAAAAATAAAAAATAAAAAAAAAAATTAAAAAAAAAAGAAAAGATATAGAAATAGAGTATAGAAAGAACATTATTTGATAAAAATGACGACATCATCCATCTATCCATCTAACCGAACATGCATTCAATTATCCATCCTTATACCGCAAACACTCGGCACGCACTCTGTAGATGTCATTGTCACAATTCAACTAAACCAAATCAAACACTATTTCAGTTTTGATTAAGGCTTTCTTTCTAATGAAGCTTAATTGTGTTGCGTTGATGTTTCGCTCTGCCCGCCTGTATGTCTGCACTGAAATTGCACGCTTGATAATATGCCCGACTCGTTCATTTTGTTAAATCAATGTGCATGTTTCGTAGGTTTCTCCGGCATCATATAGACAAAAATACATAAAAACTAACATCCCACAAATATCTATATGTAAACGTTCTGGTACGTTCTGCTGTTTGTATAGCATACAAATTTAAATCAGCATTTGTTTGGCCACAAATTGTCTCTTTGTCTCCTTTTATCTCTTTTTATCTCTCTTTAACACCACCCTTCTTTCCTTCTTTCCCTTTCCTTTCGCTCTCTCTCTGTATCTATCTACTCCTGTCACCGAATCATTACAGCAAAAATTTCGTATTTATGCCTACACATATAGTTGACTTTGACTTCTATGCAAAAACAATTTTCTACAATTTAAAAAAAAAAAAAAAAAAATTTAAAACTTTCAACAGAAAGAAATTACGTTCGATTTAGATCAAATCACTTAATAGACTTTTCTTTTTCTTGGAACCTTCTGGAGTGTGTGGAAAAAAAATTCATTAACTGCAAGAAATTTTTGCATTGGCAAGTTCGAGTTCTTTCCCAAGCGCTACGATAAGAGCACCACTGTCAAGTAAATCGCTGCTGGGAAATTGCGGCCTAATGTCTTGCCTATTGACTTGCAGCTCTTCAAACCCGCCGCTCGAAAATAACAAAAAAATATTAGTAAAGTTTTCATCAGGGCTAGCCTTGAATAGGTAGGTACACGAGAGGTTGAGCAATTCCGATGGTTTTAATGCATCTACTAATAAGGTAATCGCGAAGGGGTGAAGGGGTGAAGGGACGAAGGTTTGCTAGTTTCGGCTATAGAATTGTACAATTTCTTAATATTTCTCCGATCACTTTGCAGCAGTAGACAAAGTCTACAATATGCGATTATGTCTCTGCAAAAAGGCACTTTCGAGCAAAAAATTGTCGAGGAAGGCAGAAGGGTGATTTTGAATATGAAAACAAAAATGTATTGCATTAAAAAGTGAGTGTCTGTAACACTTATTGAAACTGTAAACGCGTTTTCCTCGAAACGCAATTGTGAAAAATGGCACGCGGCATAACTAAAGCAATTTTCATAATTTTATTCGAATTTTTCGGAGTATCTTTAAAACGACATTTTCGATAGTTAGTTAATGCAAACATTTTTTTCTTTGGTTAAAAATTAAATTCTTTCATTCAAACATTAGCCGATCACACAAGAATCAATACTTCTGGAAGCCAGTAAATGATTCCTCAGATATGGGTATATATGGGGAATAATGGATTTTTTTTTCCTTTCAATATGGATCAATTACCTTGCGCGGCGCAGAGTCCGTTAAGTTAAAAGCAGCTCGCGGGAATCGAAAAGACTCCGCTCTTGCCATTTTTTTGGCATTTTTTCTATTGTTGTTTTCAACAATACACCAGTGAGCGCCTAAATAAACCGCGCTCTATTTTTAATCTGCTAGCTTCCCTTCCATCCGACAAAAAGGAAGCAACACAGCAAACACACAAAGGGTACAAAAATGTTTTAATACGCCTGCGTACGCGTCAAGCTATATAAGCTTTTGATCAACTTGTTATTCTAGTTGAATTAAGCATGTTCGGCTATTGCCTTTGGAATTCTAAAGAGAATCGCAGCAGACTGTGAAATTTCGCGAGTACTTTCTTAGCAAAATATTTCAATTCCTTTTTGGGTATAACCTTCCCAATTTTTGGGTATAACCTTCCAACCTGCAAGGGAATGTCGTGAAATTGGTTGGAATATTTAGAAATTCATATAAGGAAAATTGTCGGCGTGAGACGGCCACGATTAGTAAAATAAAGCTTGGTGGGTGCGATCCAGGTATCGTCTTTTTGTTGCTTGCCTAAAATTTTGCTGGCGCTATTAAAACGTCTGTAAGCACAATCGGGAATTTGTAAACATCAATGCAGTCGACGTGTTTATCTCGTTGGAATTTTTAAAATGCAACGTCCGTCAGATTTCCATTTATTTACCAACACATATAATGAACATATTCGTATAGATGATGATCGTTAACTTCAAAATTGTGTATGACTGTAATGCGGACTTGATCGCTCCAATTCTTTGGTCATCGCTGCTGTTCTCTTGTATCTTGCGTCGAGACGTCAAGTCAAAGACACAATTCTCTGAGAATTTTATTTATATTTAAATGAAAAATAAAACTTTTTGGTTTTCAAAAAAAAAAATATATATATATATATATATCCCGTTTATTGTCACACTCTCTCTCTCTCTTTCTCTCTCTCTTTATTTCTTTCTCTCTATCTATGTGAGCATAATATCAACAACAGTGCATTATTTTTATTGCACTTTAGTTGCTACTCTTTGTCGTTTTACTTGTCTGTCCGTCTATCTGTTTGTTTTACATTTCATGCTTTTTTTATTGTTGTTGTTATTGTGGTCTCTATTGCGATAAAATTTCAATTATTTATAGCTTTTTTTCTTTTTTTATTGAACAATAATCGCTATACGTTTACTAACTGATGTACTGCTGTTGTAGCAGCAGTAGTAGTAGTAGTAGTTGTTGTTGTTGTTGATTCTATTTAAAAACTAACGCATACCTAAAAGCAATATACTTTTGAATACGTTTTGCGGGAATTTTAATATGAAATCATAGAAAAATTGTAAATTAATTCATCATTTGCGTCATATTAAGTCCTCTTTCTTGTTATTCGCTTTAATAAATATCGCAACGAAACAACATGTTGTTGACATATAAATAGTTGCGTTAATTGTACGCTAATAGATTTTCGTTAGCTGTTAAATAATAAAAAAAAAAAAAAAAAAAAAAAAAATGATTTTAAAATGATCATATTGATAATAATGACGAATGATGATGACACTGATAATGAAAACTTTTTCAGCATTTCAATGCAAAGCTAGCTACACCGTACGAAGCGTTACTACATTCCATAAAAAGATACTTCTCTAAAGATATTATTTGTCTGCAGCATATTTAGTTCGGTGATCTTTGGCAAAAGGCGTAGAAAGATTGGGTGAAAAAGCAATAATTGCGTTATAAAAGGCCTTAGCTCGTAAGTGAATATCTGCACAAGTTTGTCATACAGTATATAAAGTGCGACTTTGTGCGACGTGCCACGTCGCAGCGCCCCGAGCCACTTTCTCTCAAATCCTGTCTACTACTCCAATGAAAGCCACAGCGATTGACCGCTTAATACGAGAACTGCAAAGGAAACGATAGTAAATCCCTTTCAAAAAGACGGATAATAAATAAAAGACAAACGTTGATGAGAGAACCTTTATGCAAAATAGAAACTGATAAATAGAATGGGAAACATGAATACCTCGAAACGTAATCAATCAAGATTTCAAGGCTCCTATCTGTAGATGCAGAGAGGAGAATAAATCTTTCAATAAGTTTATCGAATAAGCAATGATTAAGATTTCGTAGAATGTAGAGTAGAACGTAAAGACTTCTCCCCACCCTATCAGTTTATAAGTACCAGCAACTTTTCACGTCGGTTTCAAAGTAAACTTAGATAGCCTTGAAGTCGATGAAGATGTGGAGATTTGATACTGTACACCGGTAAATTAATAAAATGATGCTATTCACTCGCTGACTTTACTTGGTGAGATAGAGTTCAATGTGTCCATAACCGGTCCCCCAGGGAGCTCTCATAAAACTCAGTCAATGTAGATATAACTATGAGCTTTTTAGTCCGTTCAGAGTCTTTTGCAAGAATCTAATGTTAACTATAATTTAGCCTCAATATCTATTACACCAATTTTCCTTACTAGGCGCGCTTGCGCCCATATCGTATCTAAGTTTACTCCTGATATCTTTGTATGATTCTGCAACAGCTTCGATGTTTACTCCTAACACGAATCTATACGGGTTACGGACTTTTCAGTTTTTTTTGCGCATGAATTTGTTTCTTATCATTTTTTCTCAATTTTTTTTTATACACTTTACAATAGCTATGAATACTTAGTTATGAATAATACCTAGCACGTAAGTCTATTTTTCGAACGACACCGCAACAAAATCTAATTTTTAGTACGTTATGACGAAAATGGGTGGACATCCCTCCAAGAAAGAACTGCCACGAACATTAGGCTCTTACTTGAAGACAAAGTTTAATTTTTGGTATTTTACTACAAAACATTATGAATAACTATATTAGGCGAGATACGGTAGAGTGTTTATTAATCGCCTCTGCCTCACATACAATTGTATGGGAGAGTGTATAAAATAATTAGAAAGCATGTAAAATATCCCTGTACCCATAAAAAAAAAAAAGAAAAGATATTTGAATTTCGCTTACGACAAAGCAGTTAGTTCGATTCGAAGAAACGACATTTGCAACGAACTCGATCGCTGAACCGAATAATCGATTGTAATAGAGAAAATCACATCATAAGAAAATGAAGGTGTTTCAAGCGGCCGATCACAATATATTGGTAAATGTATACGATCGTGTCAGCCGCGAGATTGAAAGGAAAAATAATCGGAAATGGGAGAAATCGCTCCTTATATGTGCGCACATATCATATCTGATGCATATTTGAAAATTTTTAAAAATGCATAAACATTAATTGGAAAACGGTATGGTCATATAATGCGTGCACAAGTTTTCTCTGATGAGTTTTTAACAATGAATATCGCGCTTGGCTCACCCTACTACCCAACGAATTTCAAATTTCGTGACCGCTGGATCGTCTACTTGTTAAAGAGATGATAGAATGTCCTTACATCATATCAAATGTATGGCCTAGTAGGGTTGTTTTCGTGTAAAAGGAAACAAAAAAAAATTCGCCTATAACCTGTTAAGTAAATAAGTTCATTTAAAGCTTTTGCGTACTGTATTTTTTTTTTTATTTATTTTTTTTTTTTTTAAATAATTTTGTTAAAAAAAAATGTAAACAAAGAAACCTTTAATGTATGCAAATAAATGAACTGAATGCGATTTAAGCAATACAAATAATAGAAAGAATGAATTTGAGCAACGAGTAAGCGCAGCAGCAATAGCGAGGAAAGCAAATTTTATAGAAATTTAAACAATTTGCATACGCAAAACCGATCGAATTGAAATCTACCGTACAAACGCGAATGCAAAGACGCAACAATAATAAATACTAATAACGAGTCTGCTGACAGTGGTGCTATATGTTAGGTGTAGTTCGGTATTTCAGTATTGGTGGCAGCCAAAGCGGTTATGGTGAATTATTACACAAACTACACCCGATACGTGAGACTATGTCTACTATGCGAATGAGCTAAGAGAAGAGAGCAAAAAAATAAATAAATAAATAAATAAATAAATAAATAAATAATAAGAAAATTAGTTGAATAAAAAACAGAAGAAAAAAATTTATGAACGAGTATCTCACACAACAAAGGCAAACAAACACTTAACTGGATAAATAAAAAATATAAAAAAAAATTACACTTTTAATAATAAAAACTACAGCGTAGTGAGTATCTACAATAGAGACAAGCAACAGATATAAAGCAGAGACTTGAAAAATGAGCTAACAAAAAAGAAAAACAAACTAGCGGCTGCATGCATGCTAATAAAGCAAGTGTTTTATATAGTCCGAGATATAAATTCACATGAATAGATAAATAAATACTCTTATGCACAAATATATCTATATCCGTATCTATTTAATTTATAGAGAGTGAAAAAGCTAGTGGGAAGGGGACGAGAGGAGAGGAGACGAGACGAGACAATAGGAAAAGAGAAGATAAGAGAGATGACCAACAAAGGTACACAAAGCATGTGTACGCCTGTGTATGCGTGTATTGTTGTATGTTTTCTTAATAATTACGTTACGGCAAACTGATTCTTAATGGTGTTAATATATTCGTTCATAAGTAATATCGCGAACTATTATTGTTTTCTGAAGAGGTTAACAACAAACAGCAAATGAAATTAAGCAAAAGCCTTACGTAAAAGCCAAAGGAAACTACATGCATATGCGCACACATAGATACATTTGGAAAACTCTTCAACGCAATGCAACAGAAAATGTGCAACAAATCGTAATGCAAATTGAAAAACACAACAACAATTTCAGCAGCAAAAAACCGTAAACGAAATCAAAATATGTAGGCATCTTAAAATGGCAGCATTTAGGAGCCACCATTCGATTCGGGGGCCATTTAATATTGTATACGATTAGCTCAATTCAACCAAACTCCGTGCGTCATCTGGCATGGGCCAATACATAATGAATGGCTGTTTTTAGTTATATATATATATATATATATATATATATATATATTAATAGATATGATTGTATTTGTATATATATTCAATTGCTACATATACAGTTGCTACAGTTATAATGGGCAGACTATTACGTAGTCTAAACACAAACAACTTTTATAGTCACAAAATCATGTGCACACACTCATAACATCATAAATATATATATATATATATGTATGTATTTTTATTCACATATATATATTCGCATGTTTTTATATTATACACATATATGCATTCAGTTACACTATATAACGTCACATCATTTTGACGGGTGTAGCCTCGTATACGTAACGCAAGCTATATAAACAAAAAGCAAACACATGAGTGACAATAAATGTGGTGTATGTGTGTTTGTGTGTATGGCCGGTAGTATAGCAAAATTTCCTTTAGTTCTTTTTTTTTGTTTTGTTTCTTTTTTTTTTTTTACCCACCACAGGCCTTACATAGTAGGTTAGCCAAATCTACGCAAGTTTGTTGCGCGTAGGAGGGAATACGGAACGGGATGCCTATAAAGTGTATATATTGTTGTTGATTAGCATGAAAGGGAAAATCAAGTTAGCCATGTCTGTCTGTATTAAAACCATCACGATTAAGCCGTCAGAAGACTGCGAATAGAATAACACAAATGAGCAGGTGACGGCTGCGGGGGCAATTTAATGAAATCGCTTGCTCGGGTTAGAAATACAAAAAAAAAAAAAAAAGCGAAAAAAAAGGAGAACTTTATTTGCGGCTTTTGTTAACATGGTCCAAAATTATTATTTAAAGCCTTAAACGTAGTGCCAAACCTTGCCAATACGTCCACCCACGTTAAATCTAAGAATGAGCTGAATCTTTTGAAGAACTCGAACAATGTGTGTGGAGTTTCCAAATTTTATAAATAGATATAGGAATGAAACAGAAAGGTGAAGCATCATCGGTCCATCTTGCAAAATCGAATACCGTAACTACGCAAGCAATTGAGGGATGTTGAGAAACGCAAACCAAGGTAAACATAGTTCCTATTTCATTTTTATGTATCATATCTCGATTATTATTATTATTATTTTTTTTTTTTTTTTTTTTTTTTTTTTTTTTTTTTTTTTTTTTTTTTAATTTACCGCATTTTTTGCCTGAGCAAGCCTTTATTTAACATTCATTGGATCTGTCTTTCTCTCTCTCTCTCTCTCTCTCTCCCAGTTTCTTTCTCGCTGTCTCTCTTTGCGTGCAGGGAAAAATGAAACAAATTAAGTTCATCTATGCAACTGAGGGAGTCTGGATGAAGTGATTCACGTACGAATTTGTTTGTTTCCTTTTTTCCTTGTTTGTATCCCTCTCTCTCTTTAGCTCTCTCGCTATAACGTTAATTAAGTTTAAGGTGGTAGCGCGCAAACAATTACGAACAAGAGGTAGACTAAGAGACTGACTGACTGATTGGCTATACACAATAGCAACTAGCACAGGCATCATTAGTATCTTATCTATTTATAATTCAATATTATGGCTATTGTGCAATTAAACGGCTTCACTTGATTTCAAATGAAAAACTAATTTTTTCTTTTTTTTTTTTTTATAGAAAAGCAAACAAAACATTTAAAATTTTATTTATTTATTTATTTTTTTTTTTTTTTCACAATACAAGTAAGGCGCTAAGCGCACATATATGTATATAAATTTGTAAAATATTTAAAATGTAATTTGTGACATGTCAAGCTCCCTGGGGGGAGAGAGAACACAATGGAAGTTTTTGCGAATTGTTAAGAAAAAGATATATTTTCTAGCATTTCATGCTTAATGAAGTGGCTTTTTCTTGCGGGCTGCAGTGCGGATTTTTTTAATAATAAATCTTTGTAAATATGCTTTTCCACGCTGATCGTAGCACAATATTACGGATATTTTGGATGTACTGTGCTAGCTTGCCAAGTGCAAGTGACAATTATGAATGGGAAAAATTTTGAAAAAAAATATGCCACACCCACTAAACCAACTGTGTATGGGGAAGATGTCATATGCAATATATAACATATATAAGCATACCACTGATTGAGTGATTTTAATTTTCGTCGACTTGCTTTAAAATTTCGACTACAGCAGCTCGAGAAGAAAAACTTCTCGGATGACGGATATATTCATTTGTTACTCAACGTGCAAATTTGTAATCTGCAGTGGTACAATAAAAGAGACCTTGCAAGGAAAAGCTTGATTTTGTGTGTGTTTGCTGTCACGTCTCCACACCACGCATCTTTAAAAAATCGACGAATCGGGGAAACGGGGAATCGAGGAATTGGCTATCTATTGTACTTTAAAACTGTTAATTTAACTGTGTCAACACTTTGCGAAACAATGTGTTTTCATAATAATTCTTTTACGTCACTCTTTGGCACTGCAATTTTTCGCAAAAAAAAATCCACGTCTCCAAATAGAAAAAAAAAATTTTTTTTTTTCGACCGGAAAGCGTCTCATCAAAGTATCATATAATCGATATTTAACTTGTCTCAAAAATGTTTGTCGTGATATTGTCTTTTTTCTTTCTCTCTTTTCCTTCTCAAGCGTGTTATGAGACTCATATATGATACGATTTCTTTACAAAACAATCAATTGATCATTTCACGGGTCCGACTATAATAATACGAAGTTTGCGCTAGTAATGTGATTAAACGCGGACTTTAGTACCAAATTTAGATTAATTGAAAACATCGTAGAAAAGATGAACGCTTCAAATAAAGCAAACAACATAGAAGGCACACACTCAGCAAGGAACCACCACTTTAATGATATTTAAAAGAAAAAAAAAAAAAAAATTGTTTTTTGAATACATGCTCAAAACGCCACACTAAAGCTCTTTCCATAGCGGAGCATTAAAAAACACGTCTCACTTAATTTATTTGTCCTTTTGTAATTTATTTGTGTCCCGTATCCCGTATTGTAATTGAGAAATTTGTCTCTCATGGCAAAATAATTTACTTCGCTAATAACTGAGAGACGGCCTTACCTTCTAAATGCAATTCTTTTACAAGTCGAGGGAAAAGTGAAAAGGGGTCTTTTGCACATATTTGGAACGAAAATCTTCTCCAATTTTCCATATCTCTGAGGAATTTCGTCCTCTAATGATTTGCCATTAATTTGAGTTTTCTTTTTCGCTTGCATTGGAGCGGCTGCGTTAATTGCAATTTTGACTTTTTGTATCGTAATCGTTTACGTGTCTTTCTATCATTAAAAGAATGAGGCAATCAATGCTAAACCAATCAAACAAGAACCAGACAATGAAACGAACAAAAAATAACGGGAAAATTAATAAAATTAAAGCCAAACAAAAGCAACGCAAAGAAAAATATAAAAAAAAAAAAAAAAAAAATATACAAAAAAAAAATATATATATATATATATATATATATATATGTATATACGTATATACAAAAGCTGTACGAAAAAATCCAAATCAGCCATTTTATGGTTTGCATTGTCCCATGCGATTTTTGCGTCTTATTTTTCCCCCTTTATTGTCACCTCAACTGTTCGTTAATATCCTTACACCGATAATTATGTGCCACACATAAACATCTTTTGCTATAGTAGTAGCCTTAGGAGACATCTGAATGCACCGGAAGAAATGTTATCAAAGGCTACTAAACACTTGCATTGAAAAAGCGTCAGTTTCGTATAGAATTAAAACAATTCGATCTATCAAACTGAAGTACATAGTTCTGCCCAACTTAATTTAGAATTTCTAATTGATGTCATAAAAAAAGGCGGTCGTGTTATTTTGTACAAGGAACGGGGGAGAGCGAAAAGTTAAAGTCAATTTAGTTAAGACACTGTAGTGGTACATTAAATACCCTACATCACTTCGCTTAATACAGTTCGTCGTATAGCGAATTTCCAAAGTGAGTTTTTATATGGGAAATAGACGAAAGCGTAGTCCGAACCGCACTGTCACATCAAAATATCTCAAAAATTTGCGATCTGATTATCGAAGATAAGAAAACAAAACGAACGGACGGACGGACGGACGGAAGCCCTTCTGAATGTAGCATACATCCGTACAAACTTTATAATACCCTTGCGCCGCAAGCGATGTAGGGGATAAAAAACCAAAGTTTTCGCCTGATTCCGAATCTTTAATAAAATCCCGTAGCAAGATCTTGAGCAAGCTCTCAAATGTTTTATCAGTTTTGTGCGCTGTAATCCTGTTTAAAAAAAACAAAAAAATTCACTAAACAAATAATTAATAATTAACACAACGCAATTACTGTAGAGTGCATAAAATCTAATGGACTTCTGAACGCATTGTCTTTTAAATTTATATTTAAATTTGGCCGCACTACCGGTCAAAAAGTTATTGTATGTTAAACTAACTTTGCAAAGTTCTGAGCTTCTAACCGCATACGTAGAGATTCGCGCAACGGTAAACAGATGTATGGTTACAATTTGTATACGCACATACATACACGTATATATATATATATATATATATATATATACTGTGCTATTTAAAAATATATATTTATATCAAGCGCGAATTGTTTGCTTTTCATTTTCTCTTCGCAAAGAACAGAAAATATTCTAATTTTTCCCATCCGGACGTTGTCCGATCGTCGTCATATATTCAGGGCAGAGTTGTACAAAAAATTTCGTTTTTACAACTGATCTGCGGTAACGACACAATACATTTAAAGTTGTGAAAGCGAAAAATACACAAAATGCAATACTTTTCCTCTTCATTACTTCAATTATACAAAGCATTTACAATACTACCTGAGGTAATTTCGGCGATTTTGAATATTTTCTAGAACATATTATAAGAAGAAATGCAAAAAGTATTAAAAGTCATCTCGAAATTCTTAAGATGATCTTCTCGCCCTCGTATAAAATCACAGCACGGTTTGACATCATTACGAACCGATCTGCTGAATACGACGGCTTAGTCTCATTTTTGCATTACTTTTTTTTTTCTATATATTTTTTCTTGAAAATTATTGCATCTTACATTGTAAAATGTGTGTTC